CACGCATGAACTGTGTTTAAAATTCATAGAGAGAACAAAGAGAAAAAAAAAAGACCTTAGTTGTAAACACTGAGTATGCCATTCAACCAAATTCTGGTTTTCTAAAACACAGCCGTGAAATATTTTCGATGCCTGTTAAAATACTGTTTCTTAAATGTCTCGTCTTATAAGACATGTTTTTCTAAGATTTCCAAAATCTGTAGGATTTTTATAAGGTTATATCATCGGCACAATTCGTATCCGGCCAGTGCTAATAGAAGTTATCCGTAAATGCTATATTCAGTAGTTATCGCTTCGTCTTAAAACAATTGCACCGCAGCAAGCCTATTCAGGAAAATAACGCGTTGTTTATATGAGCAATCGCAAGTGGAAAGAAAAAAGGGGAAAAAAAAGTAGGGAATGAAGCTTTTTTGTCCTTTAAACAAGGTATAATACTCTACAAGATATTTCGAGCATTTCATTAAAAATCGTTTAAACAAGGGACAACAATTTGAAAAGTCATTTTCATTTATAGCTGGAAGAATCAAACCTATAGACATTTTACGATTCCTACCATAGCCCAAAATTAAGGCATCTGCATTCAATGAAGTCCCTTACAATGACTTATTCATTTTTATTAAAAGTTTGAATATCCGCAAAAGTATCGTATAAGCGAGGAAATTTCAAAAGAATCACCACTTATGAAAGGCAAATGGCGAGACGATGACGCGATGAACGTGGAAAGAGATCTTACTAACTAACCTCTCCGCCATGATAGCAGGGACCATAGTAAACTAAGTAGAGACGGCCATGAAGGTAGAGGACTAAGAAAACAGCCGTCTGTTATACGGCCAACAAAAGAAATTTAACGATGCTCTCTTTTGTTCGCTTCTCGAACGTCTGCCGTTTGCTGAGAACTGCTCATCACTTCAGTCGTTTGTCTGACTACGATTCCATGAGATCCTAATCAACGACTTGGGGAATGGACCTCTCCTATGCTACGCATAGACAGCTCTATGCGTCCAGTAGCCTCTACAACAGTGAGGTTCATCACTTGGAATGATTATTGTCCGTCTAAACTTCTGGGACAAAGGATCTTTCTTTTTTTTTGTATGTTCCCAGAGGAACCCATGGTCGTCTTTCGGAAAACGGGCAAAATCTAGCGGCCTGTATGAGAGGAGCGGATAAAGGTATTGTTATGTTTTTTTTTTTTTATTTGGACTTACAAGAACGACAAATATACGTATTCATATACATCGCCTCTGTATTTTCCCAAGTACTATCAAGGGGACTAACTATCCCTACTTCTACGCAGAAGTGACTATGATATAAATTTCGGGGCTGTCATACGGAACAAACTATCAATCAACTAGAAATATCAAGCAAGCCATCGGTTTGGTATATCAAAAGCATGTTCTACTATTACATAATATCTCTTTACGCAGATCTCTGGTTTTTAACCGACGTATACACTGTTATTGCGCTGCTGTAGAAATATGGAGTACGAAAGTCTATGAATTCTCGGAAGGCTATTTTGACATTATTTTGAAAATTCTTCTATTAAGAAGTTGTCAAGATCCTGTGGGAGCAATATCTGGCGAGTATAGTGGCTGACAAAAAGCGTTCCTACTGTTACCTTTGCACCTTCGAGCGGTGTCATGCATCAGGAGTGATTTACCTTTCTTCTTTAATCTTAGCTGCTGGATGCGGCGAGGTATTTTCATCATCTCCTTCAATTGTTGACCATATACTTCAGAATACGACTACATTTGCATTAGACTATCCAACAGGAGCTATAAGCTTTTGTAATTGTACATCTGTTCTAGAATGAAACATGACAGGCGTTAATATCATATTTGAAGGCGCGACATTCCACGACACTTTTTTTATGTATTCGAAATACACCTGCACTTCCTGAAATTGGATTTACGAGGATATCGTCAGTCAGGCTTTCACCAAATAAGTTGCAGTAGGCCATGAAAAAAAAACCAGAACATTCGAGTAACTTGTGAACATGAGTTCCACGTTGGACCTACCGCGGCGGAAATGGCTTGTCGTATAAACCTTGTGTTCGGCAAAGGTTCCACTATTACTAGGAACACCGTGAGAGGTGCTAATAAAAAATATCGAACCTGAAAGTCTTCTAGGCGACTCGTGCGAAACTGAAGCCAAATGAAGTATTGAGAACTATCGTGAAAGCCAACCCTCAACGTACGGGTGTTAGCGCTTAGCTGTGTTGCCTGTAAAAACACTCCACTTGTTCACCTCGATTAAATTATTAAAATGACAAAAATTGGGTAAATGGTTACCGTTTGATTTGAGCGCTGATACAAAGCAGAGACGTAAAGCCCCTGTTTATTTCTTTTGCTAGCACGTTACAACGATGGCCTATCCTTGTATCTCATTGTGCCTTGTGGTGAAAAATTAATTTCTTACAATAATCACAAACGGTCATATTGAACCCACCGATTCAGAGCATCTACAAAAGCTTACACTGACCGTGTAGTGCTTCTAGATTAGGTGATTATACATTACAGATGCATAATTGCATTTATTAATTTATTATTAATAATGCAATTACAGCTGAAGTAAAAGAGACGATAAAAACACATCGTATTCAGAAGCCAGGTAGATCATTCCTAGTGCACGACAACGCTCGACCATATTGTCCCCACAGATTTTCATTTATTTCAAAATTTCGACAACATATCAATATAAAAATTCATGTTAAAACTGCTTTCCGATATCGAAAATAGCTCAATCTGCAACAAAGGTTCGAAAACTTCATTTTATCGCATTTTGTCCTAAACGGCCTGATATATTCGTTCGAGTTCAAACATTTCGTAGCTTCAAGTAAATTCCTACCGGCATCGGCGCCTATAACTACTTGATTTTTTAAAACGTTCGATTAAAACTAACAATATTCATGAATGAGGTACCCCTAATAGGTCAGGAAATATACATTTTCGCTGCTTAGGACCATGATTTGAAACTGTATCATCTAAATATGGCAGTCAAACGGGGATCAAGTCTTGGACGAAACGACAAGGATTAAGTTCGTATATTTTTTTTCCTTTATGAATGACTAGCTCGGATTGGTACTACTACGTATGTAATGCTTATTACTTCAACTAGCCTAGCATTATATGACATTGATCGTGTATGAGCCTTAATAGAAAGATCCTGAAAATACACACGAATTCTCGAACATAGAATTTATATCATTATTTAAACAATTAGGTAAATCGTTAGCAGCTTGTTAACACATCAAATGTTAGAAGCTTGCTCCTCAGCGTTTTTAATTATAACCATATGTTTGGCACTCAGTAAATGCTACCATTACTGCAACTTAGAATCTCCCCGGTGGCCTCTATCGTAGCTACTATCCGGAGTGGTTAGTAGGGTGGATCAGTACAAAAAGATTTGCGAATTGCTTAAGGCGATACACTGTGAGCAATAGAGTTCTCTCGAATAGAGAAAGCACACTAGTTTTATACCTGGTACTCGCAGCCTATTTAGTGGGCCGTCTTCTCCGCAGTAGCATAAGCGAATGAAGTTGAAAATAACAATATTATAATTCGTATGTACAGGGTATCAACACATTTTACATGAGCCCCAATCCCTTAGCAAGCAATGCTTGGTTTCGCAAGTCGATTGTCCAGTCTGTGTTTCTGCATCCATAGCTTTTAGCTAACTCAAAAGTAGGTCACGGAAGACTATTATTCTCTACGGATCTATCAGAGACATTTACGACTGAAAAGGGAAGTTTGAGGCGGGTCGGGAGGGAGGCGCCTAGACTGCAGACGTCGCAGCAAGCCCTCCTTGCCTGAATTCTCTCATACCAGATGGTAGATGCGGGGCGTAAGATATGGGCAAAGCATCAGCTCTTAATCAACAGCGTTTCCTTGAAGGTTTCACTGAGTAACCTGCAAACGTTCATGCGTACTGATCCCCGAGAATGCCATCCGCGTACGATGTGTCGGGTAAATCCAACCCCAGTAAAACCTGAATGGTGTAACTCCTGTGTAAAGTGTTTACCCACATGGCTAATCTTCCCGGTATTCATATCGCCCCATGAGCAGAAAGTAAGCGCATTTTTACTACGCAAACTTTGATAAACTCATGGTATACGAGCATATGAGCTAGACCTAAGCAGGGAAGAAAGCGTGTGGGGCGTGGCGGAGGACCAAACTAGCAAAGACGACTATGTCTTTCTTGACCAAGTACCTCTCAAAGGTGAAGCATGTTAATCGCAGGCCTCCATTTTCCCCTCTGCTGCTCCGGCTGAGGCATGGTGGTGCAAGTTGAGCCGCAGCTTGAATGCGATGTTGTGTATCCAAGGGACCTTGTATTGTGTCTGTGAGTCTACTGTTACCTTGATGTTGACCAAGAGTCTAGGGCAATAAAACCCTCGATAAGAAATGTCCCAATAAAGGCACGATGAAAGCGCATACCACTAGGACAACGGAGCCGCACAGAGAGAGATGAATAAGGACCAGCATTCAGACGGGTACTCGACCTGACAAGCACTTACCCACTAAGAATATACACACTCTCCAGGAAGCTCTTTTGAAATATTTTGTTTACGTAGTTAAAAGCGATGATCTGTCCAAAGGACGTATCATATTTGACTTTAAACAAAATGTGTTACTTCTTGTGCCTTGATCAACAAGGGGTAGTCGTAGAAATCATTGAAGTATAAAATGTATGCCCACTATTATGCCCATAATCGCGTCGAAACGTACTACTTGTCCAGAAGAGAACGTGTGGGTCAAAGCAAAAAAAGAAGCCAGAAGTAATGAAATTGAAGGGTATCTCTCAGATGTGAGAACTATTGTAGGCGCTACAGCCAAACATATAGCCGACGCGGCCAAATTAACAAAGATAGCTAACAATAGTGATTGCATCAATTGATTGTACACTGCATTGGTTATATTATACAGCAAGCCGTAAACTGTCGTACACATATAATCGCTTAATTATACTTTGCTACGATTATTTTTCTAATATGGTCAACTTACCCAGGCCTCAATTCGTAGAAGTCGCTGGTCTTTGTTTTATGGCTTTGTGCCACCTGCAATGCGGCCAGTAGCGTCAACAACGGGAGTAGAATTCTGCTGGTCCAACTGGCTGTGCGTCGTCTTATTATGCCATTTAAGTTATTGTACGGATCAGCTTGAATTTTGCTTGGGTTATCCGTTTGTAGCCGAGCAGGTAGGGCTGCAGATGGCGACACGGCTGTGCCCTCTTGGTGCATGAGCACCTGTTCCATCTGCATCGACGTGTGTACTCTAGTGCTTGGTCGATCTTGCTCGCACCTGGTGGTGGGAGACACTGCGTCTGCTCATGCACGAAGCATGTTGGATTCCCGTGAAACTAGGCAGCTATTGGGAACTCAACCGGCTGGCGGATGATGTAGTTTTTAAAAAAGTGCCTTCCTAATTATTGGCTATCGGTTTCTGATGTCGAGGGCGTCATGCGTGCTGCACTTGGAGAGCACGCCCGACGCCTGCTCCTGCCTGAATGATGCCTGCTCGCTAATCACTGGCAGCAATATTGCAGACGACGCGACATCAATAGCCTACTAATTGTGGACGTTTGAGGCTGCCTGAGACCGTTATTGAATGAGGGGTTAAGACAGAATTTTTGAATGGTTTTTTATCGTTGGGCGACGAGCAGTCGATCGGAATAACACCAATGCGACACTTCACAAAAGACCGCTGGCTTCCTTCTGGGATCGGCTGCGGATATATTTATATTTTCTATGCTTTATTTATTTATATATATAATATTCCCTGCAGTCCGACGGCAGAAGTTCACTGGTTGGAAGGGCTGGTCTTCAGCTTGAGCCAATTTCCTCAGCTCGTGAGCTTAGCTCGGGGCACGTTGCTGCTGCTGCTGCTGGTGCGTGGGATTTGGGCATCAAAGATAGAATTCGATAATCAAGCGGAATTAGCGATGGCGTTAATAGCGATGATAACGGTAATGAAGACGATGTCGGCGAGAACAACATCAACAACATGAAGGCAACAATCGCGGACGATTCTGATAACAATAACCGGTACAATGATGATGACGACACGGATAATGATCTTGCTGCTGAGAATGAGATCAAAACGGCAATGCTAGTGCAATAAGCGGCAACGGATGTTGTGGTGGAGATAGCGTAGTTCAAGATGGCGTAGGCGACAGCTGCGGCTTTACTCGTGGGTGCGGTCCTGATTCTCCAGTTCTTGTTTCTGCTGCTGCTGTTGCTGCTGCTGCTGCTGCTGTTGTTGTTCGTGGTGATACTGTTGATGCTGGTAGATACAAAGCTGATGATAATCCGCTTCTTCTGCTGCTGCTTATTGTAATAATGCAGTTCAAGGAGATGCAACTTAGACGAGCAGGGAAACGGCAGTAGTAGTTCAAACGGCGGCGGAGGAAAGGACATCGCGGCGACGCGGGCGAGCGGCAGCCTGGAATCAAACGAAGAGCCGACCAGAGCTATTATAGCATCCTGTATAGACAACAAGCACGGTTGCTTCATCAGACTACGAACGGCGCTTGTCTCAACGATTTCATACACGCGAGAAAAAGGGGGAATGCTACTTCGTGCCTGAGAGCTTGAAAACGTCATCGGAGAGGCCGCTGCAATCCTCAGTTAGTTTGTGATCTGAGGTATTGCAATTACGATTTGTGCTGAAAGCAAGGGGGGTACACGACGTACAGAGAAACGATGTAATTTGGTAAATGTGCTATGCACGCTAGGCTCACACGAGCAGTATATTTTGTTTAGGCCGAGTTTCAAATCGAAACATAGGACTAGCCTTTTTCGATCTACCAAAGCGGTGGCTTTCTAAAGCTATATATATATATATTATTAAAACTATTTTCTTTGCACTCATCAGCCCAGATTCTATTTTATATAAGATTTATTTGATAAATGCCTTTAAGTAACCATCATGCAGAAGCTTTGGCATTATTCTAATAAAATATTCACGTAGTCATAGATACTTGACATTATCGATAATCTTAGACGAAGCTTCCGGGAACGAAATTCACCAAAATTCATGGCAAATAGCAACCTGTTAGAATGTCAAAATTTCATTTAGTTGAAATATTCACCACCTAGGCAGAGTGCCGGCTAAAAAAAGGAGAAGTTTTTTTTGTAGAGCCTAACACTTCGACCCTTTCTGCCATCGGATTCTTAACTGTTAACCAGAACTTTATGAGGTAAACTAGTTAGAAGAGTTATGAGTAGAAGTAAGAAGAGGAGTTAGCATGACACCGAGCAAGAGCCCGTGTCAATTTTACATCTCGGAACTTTTTTGCCCGAAACCCAAAAGCATTTACCATCATAGGTTAGTAGGCATCTACAATCTCTGTTTTTGAACTTCCTAGGTTTAGTGGTCGACTATCCAGTGTAGTCTACGTTTCAATTTATGTAGCTATGCACAACAGCGATGCTCGTGCGTGTTAGGAAAGTCAAACATTTTTTACTTTAGCTGAAAATACATACATAGCTACCACTACCACCTAATCATTGAATTTGTAAGTTACCTTTATCTCGTCTAATTTAAAACTCTTATAAATGCGCCACTGGTTTTCAAAATTGCCTGTTTGGTGTTTTTTTTTTGTGAATCAAGCAGAAAAAAGAGCGGTTTCTGTTCTTGGCAGGACCTACTCAGTACTTACGCAATAGTTGAAGGCATCCCAACCAGAGTCCCAACGAGATGATGTCTGAGAACAGCACCTTCGATCTCTAGGGATTGATCTTGTACTGCTTATTTCGTGCCGCTCGAACCTCATAGATAGGACCTTCGTAATTAAGATCAATGACTATGCCTGAGCGAACTACCAGTCCCCCCCTCCGCAGTTCTTCAGGGCGCATGCCTAGATCCTACTCTGTACATACTCTGCATTTATGACCCAACCCTGTGCCTCTTACAGTTGGACATTACCTACAAAATGAAAGCCAATTAGCTGAAAGCATGTATCGAGATTCGAAGCAGCAAAAATAGTCTAAACCTTGGTTAGTTTGAAATTAAATTATGATATCAGTCATAATTGATCAAATACGCTGCTATCTGTTGCTAACACGACGCCATACTGCTTAAATCGGCAGGCCATTAATAAACTAGCAGTTTACAATGATTTAGGAGTGATTTTTGCTATGCGGATGTAACTCTAAAATTATATTATGGATGCAATTGAAGCTGCCTCGTGCATCACCAAGCTGACTTTTCCCGTGCAAAGCAATTATATGGTTCTCTAACTAAACACAATGGGCATACTGTGCACGCGTAGAAATGCGCTCTTAGCAAACATATAACGAAAGAGGGTATTGCATAGGCAATATTTGAAAAAGGGTGTCCCTAGGGCGGTAAAACACTTTCTTCGATCAGATGATCTTCTCTAGCGTTGCCTAGCTTCAAGTTATCGTTGACGACTGAGTATTTAATAGTTTCATTTTAAAGCTAAGTTGAATGTATTTTACTGGGTTCGATAAAGCAGTCTCAGAAGTAAGTTTTTAGTACAGCCACAGATCATAAACACCAGCCCGACTGTATCATTTTAGTCTCCTTTCAATAAAATATATTTACTATTATATTGTAAGGTTCGCCGTGCGTCCGAAGAACCGCCACAGCTGCAGTTGAGTTTTTTTTTTTAGCTCACCGCTTTATATTCAATAAGGAGGATTCAACTACTTGTGACGGAGCGAAGCTGGCTTAATATTCTCAATAGAAACACTGACTAGTACAGGTAAATAAAACTTCCCTGAGAAAGAAGTTACTAAGACGGCGCCAGAAATCCTTACAAAGGAGCTGAGGATTCATATTTCGTACCTTTCAGAGTTGCCTAGCATCTGTACTTGTCATTACCTTCGACACCGTCGACCACCACAGATAGGTTCCACTGATAACCACTGTACGCGCCTATTCCCTGAACCTGTTTCAACGAAAAAGCAAGCTGTTTAAAACAAAATGCATCAGGATTTACAAAACCGACACAGAGGCTTATAAAATGCTGTATCGATTAATGTATTGTTGATTAAAGATTGAATAAAACAGGACACAAGAGCAAACAAAAAAATGCTTTTCTTAGGTACTGTGATAATGATACAATAATTTAAATTTAAAATTCAGTTCTGTATTCACTTTTAGCTAGAAAATAGATAGCTTAACTGCCACTGGAAATATTTTCTAAATAGTAAAACTAGAGTTCTATTTGCTTTGAAGTACTGATACGTTTAAGATCAATTTTACCTCGAGAAAACTTCAACTACCATTTCCTGTTTTGATGGCAGAATACGGCGAAGCTCGTTACTTTTTATGTTCATGATCCAACCGTCCAGAGAAAGACAAATGCTGAAATATCTTTGTATATAAACTTGTATGAAGACACTCCACCTCGTCCGACTTCGTCGAGCTACACTGGCCGACCTGACATGGATCTTGTGACCACAATGCTACTACTGGCGCAATGTCTTCTCCAGCACCGCTTCTCGCAGGGCCTTGTACTTTGTATTATAATGACAACATAGCCAGCATCCTGATCATACTTCAGGAATATTTGAGGGATAATTACTCGAACACCGTTCTGTCCCTATTCAAAAGGAGCTCGGAACGTTCGAAGGAAGCCTTTATTTGTGTATGTTGACTGAATATATTTAAAAAAAATCTTTTGTTCAAGTAGTTCAGATAATCCTAAATTAAGAAAGACCTAGGAAAACTACACTGTGAGAAGCATCGGACAAGGCACTCAAAATGCCTTTTTCTGCTGAGCCTGTTACCTAATGCCCACACGGACCATTTTCTAGCAATATGTATTTGTGGCGACAACTGTTACATATGACTATGAGACGACAACAATCTAAAATCGTATACGAGAACGATGAATTATCATTGTTACCCTAATTTATAAAAAGCTGACACGCGTCGACGAGATTTTGATGGTACACAAACCCTTATCGGCTTTAGTATCGGTTAACGAAATTGAGCTTCTAAATGTGGAAGAGTTCGGAATTTTGACAAAACAGATTTTTAACATCCGCTTTTGTTAATGGCAGTTCGATAAAGCTCTTAAAACAGAGCTAACTTGTAACGTCGCAAGCTTACGTTTGTGAATCGATGTTAGAGGTGAAATGTGCTAAGTTCCCTCGGGGACAAGTGTTAGGTTTTGTACGTGGAAATAGCGCTGCAGAAAGATGACGCGTTGCTATAGGGTTCCTATGTGGCGCGTTCCTCATATATCGAAAGTTATGTGAGCGGCCTTGCAATCGCGCACCCTCTATAAGGCTCTCTGACGTTACTGTTAAATTTTTTTCAACTAGTTTTCATCTGTATGTCCAGACTCGAACTGGCGACTTTCGCCTACTCGCTTTATGATACCAGCATTGCTATCACCGGGACGGTGGCGGTTCTAAGCTGAACGATAAGTTGAGGAGTTAAGGGGGTCGCCATTTTCTTTTGAAATATAGAAAACTGCGTTGGTAATCGGTGCTGATTGAAGTAAATGTCATAACAGATGGAAACGCATTTAAGCGCTCGATCATAAGAGACAGTAAATTTTTTCCGTTAAATCCACGATCACAAATAATAAAATATACAAACATATCAAACTCGTACCTCGTACTTCCAACTGGATCAAATACTTTTCGGGTGAAGAAGAATGTACACTTCGTTCCGTGGGTTAATATGATTGTAGCCACTAGGGACGGCAAATAGCCGAAAAGATCGTAGCGGAAGCCGGTATTAAGCAATAACCTTTTCGTTCGGCCTTTTTACCTAAAGCCAGACGCAAAGACCAACCGGCAGAGAAGCCTACTGACAAAGTCTATTTTGAAGCTAGGTTAAATTTTAAATTAAATCAATCGTGATACCGCTTGACAACAGGTCATCTTGTATAATTAAAGGTTGTTTTCCATTATATTTACTTGTGGTGAGCAATTTTCGGGATAATCAAGCTAATGTAACGCTGATGTTACGTAGTTTCAAAAATCAGACTCTGTAACTTCGCTTGTATACATGTTCCATGCAAAGAAAAGTTTTGCGCTTAATTGGGTTGTCACGTATTAAATTTTATAAACCTAAGAGGCGTCTTATCAAATCTCGTTATTCGAAAATGAAGCTGCCATTTATGTCACTCGTTCTGTGTCTGCACTTTTTTTTGTTAAAGCGAAGCCCAGGTTGACCGAGTTAGATTTTTCACTGCTCGATAAACCCATTGGCACCTCCCATTTTGGTATTTTGTGCGGGATAGCTACCAGCATCTGGAACAGACGTCAACGAACATGATCGGTTGTCAGAGCTAGTATCCAGTGTTTTGATTCCGACCTCCAATAAAAAGGTTAACTTAGAAGATCGGCATTTATTATCCATACGAACGAATAGGGAGAAGAGTAACAGGCTCGCAGCTTAGGCCCACAACAGGAATAGATACTTATTTGGTGGCCCTGCGGTGGTTCGTTTGACATTTAAATGTCGATCAAAATACGCTAACTAAAAGATGCTTCGTGGCAACTATGTATCGAACATCTTTTACGTGAATCGAGTCAGCACCTCGAAAAACACCTTCTACTATAGTATATTGGCAAGGCGTCACCGTTAATTGACGGACGCTGTAATAGTATGACGCGAATAGATGCTCAGTATATACAAAAGCGCTTTACTATGATGTGCGGAGCAGCGAGCGGTCAAACGTATAACTATGGATGTGCAGACAGAAAAATCTGCACAAATACGCTGTAAATAAAAGCAAAGTGGTCACTAAGAGGAGGTAGCGTCTTTTCGTCACCGGGTTGAATATTCGAATCAACATTCCAGTACGTATATAATAGGTGTAGGTAAATACTGGCGTTATGGAAACAGGGTAATAAGTTAACACTAATTAAACCATTCATTAGGAAGACTTCCTTTATAAGCCGGTACCTTTTATTGTTATTTACTAGTATTTGTACGGTCATCAATGTCGTTTCACTGTCTCAAACAAATGACGTTAAATAAAAAAAAATGTTTATGAGGAATATTAAAGATAATATAATACACATTACCTGCGATTTCATGGCAGCTTTATATTTTCTTCTTTGTAAATGTACCAGCGGTATATCTATGTAAAATACTAAAGCCACTTATGACGTCATCCTTTGAACGATCAAGAGGATTCCTGGTAGCATAACGGCAGCAGTACTAATAATAATAATAATAACTAATAACTTACAGCAGATTCAGAAGTGCCGCTGTAAACTTAAACTGCTGGTGCGTCTATTCCGAAAAAATGCGCCTCGGCAGTTTACTACTCCACTGCCTAAACTTTTGGGGTAAACAGCAGGACAATGGGAAAGCGAAAGTAACACACTGGCTATTGGCTGGCGTTATATGGACGGACAAGAAACTTTTGGACATTTCTCGTTGTGTTTTTTCTGTCAATGACTGATCTTAAGTCTATTCAAAAGTGATGCTGTGTATAGGGGACGCCCACCGTAACCGTGTGTACCGTGGCAAACAGGAGATTGATCTTATTTAATTCAGCAACGACACGGCATTTCTTTCATTTTTTGTTCGTAATTGAGTTGCTTCCCTACGGACTATGCTGTACGGCGGGATGTTTGCCCCCATTCATGTCATCCTTTTTCCTTACGTCCCAACCCAAGACTTTTCTTTCTCTCTTTCCTTATTCTAACGACGTTTGCCTGGTAAATGAACAGGCCAAAAGGTGACGCCCAACTTAATGCGCCTGTTTCAGTTTGTCACCCGCAAATGGAACGTTGCCTCAATTTAACTGCCGTGACGAAACATTGAGCGCTTTTATACTCAGTTAAACAGGAGGGGTTATTCTGTTCGTAGGCGCAGGGCAGTGCTCTCCGCTTCTGACCCGACGTCCGGGCGACTCACCCGCACAATTCCAAAACCCAACTGTACAAGGGCGTCAGCACAAGCATTCTGCCGCACAGGATTACATATATATAAAAAGTGATTAGTAAGTCGTTGTCGCCGCATCTACTGCTCATATCTAAACAGCAAGTGTTTCTCGGATCTCTAATTGAATGGAAGGTCGACCCGCAAAAGTAACACTACAATGTATAAAGGAGACAACAAAATAATATGGACAAGTTTCAAAAGTGGCTTACTGCAATATCGTCAGTGAATGAATCAGGGAAAATCCTGTATCGTGTTCGTCAAGCTCGATTTACGTACGCTTGAGCAACGTAAAAGTTTCCACAAAGTTGGAGAAAGGTATATTTACAAGTACTGACTACTAAGAATGAACCAGTACAAATGCTGACTGTCGTCGTGTAATTTAAATGCTTGCAGAATGATATTTTAAATGTTTCAAAAAAAACGACCCATTAAATGACGCTATACTTCCTTCGGTTACTATAGCGACGACATTGTTAGCAGGGATGGGTATAAAATATCGGTATCAATTTGGCCCAGAGGATCATCATCATCATCATCCGAAAGAGGCCCAGAGGTCTGCCTGTACGGTTGAGACACACACTCATACACCACACACTCACACATAGATACATCGCTATGTTACCGCTTACAACAGAAAAACCCGATAAGCCACCATTTCCTATAAATGATAAATTATATCGATAACCTGAATATATATTGGCAAGTCTCCGTTAACACTCAGTGTGATGACATATATCCTAATGGACGACACAACAAGATAAGGGGTTGTCAAATATTTCGAGCTTCGAATGCATGGTATTTGGCGGGCATCAAGGATGTTAGAGAACAGGTTGGCTAAATTTGGCATTTTGTGCAGGACCTAATAAGGATTTTTTTTTTAGGAAGCGCTACTTGCCGATCGGTACTCTTGCTAGATTATCTGTCTGTGTCGCGGCGCGTGCGTTGCTAGTTTTGGCTATCGCTTTTCGCTAGAAGAAAGCCTTCTTGTCGGCTGTTGGGCAGGGATAGCCCTTGCAAAAGACAGAGTGACTATTTTTAACTTAATAGCACGTTTCCCTCCTCTAGAATAGCTCACGATCCGCAGTCATCTTTCGAACGTATAGTTGTCAAGGCAACGTCAATTCTTCGTAACGATGGGTCAGCTATACCGGATCGAATATCAGAAAATGCTGCTGTACGTCGCCTTCTATTGCGCCTTCCTGTTGGCCTTTCCCGACGAAAAAAGAGCTCTAAAAAAAACTAAGAGGCACTTGAACGGACGGAAGGAAAGGACTATAAGTTCGTTAATCGTCGCTGCCTTTTCCAGCGGCGTCTCTGCCGTAGTCCAAATCTATAGCTTGCCAAACTTCCCAGAAGGCTAACTGCTGGTTACTATCTACGTCAAACCCTAATTCCACGATGTCGATTGTAATTCAACGGAACAAAAATAAAGCAAAGCGGAAAAACAGAGTAGGATCAATCAACTGCATAGATGTTCTTCAGCTGTTTATTGAAAGTAAAATTAATAAAACCCTATCGACCGTTACGTTTGCAGTGATCAACACAATATACACACAACTGCATCGTGGATAGGTCTTCAATAGAACTACGACTATTAGTGAAAGTAAGCTTAGCCTCATAGCAAAGCCTGAGCGATAGTAAAGTTTCATTCAGCATTGTTAACTTCAAAGTTCTAAAACAATACAATTTTTGCGACAAAGTAAAAACTTATCCCAAGCAAGGAGATGATGCAGTTTAGAGGTTATGTCCAATTGAAGTAAATAAAACGCCTTCATCGAACTAGAAGCAGCCAATCTGAGAACTATTCTGCAGTAAAAAGCCTATTACTTTCATATTTCTCCATGTAGCGTAATACACAATGATTTTACGTGCTTATATCTTTGACCTATTTTAAAAACACTAACATACTGTTAGAAGGAACTGATTAAGGTTCTTGTAGAGCGGTGGGATCTATATATATATAATCATTAGCCGAACACGAGTAAAAATGACTCTTCGATCTCTCTCACGGTTTTCGTGTAAATATAGGATAGGCTAGCCTATGTAGTCAGTATAATCTTTAATACTGGTGCATCTTTATAAAAACACTCGTAGACGAATACCGAGTCGTCGTACTGCTCCTATGCATTTATTGTCACCTAATTTAATGTCGTGTCGCAGCTTGCCTCACCTGTTTTTTCAGACGAAATCGAGAGGAGATCCGTAGCGATCTGAATCCTGATCGTGCTTATCTTGTGTCGGCGCCTGGTTCGTTCATTCGTCCGTCCGTCTAGCCAAGCAATGCAGATTTAAAATGTACACATTACACTAAGCGCGCCTGTTGTCGTTACTGCTGGTGTTTGAGCCTTTAGTCGCGCGTCTTTGTGCGTCTCATTGAGTATTCAGACCCCTTCGCCAGAAGCTGGGTATGGCAGCAGCAGCAGGTTAGGTGCTGGCGATTGCAGCCGGCAGAGCGGCTTCATGTTTGCCTACACCCGACTCTGACTGAGTTGCTTCTGATTTGTTTTAGAGTTCAATTGATATCAGTTAGCACAGAGGTTTCGATGGACCTAGGTTCACTCGCCACTGAATGCGTACATGGGGTTCTTAGTTAGGTTATCTGTACGAGTGTATTTTGTGCTGATGCTGCAACTGCTGTTTCTACTGGTGTCTCTATTTTTTTTTTAAAATAATTTTTGCCTTCATTTTTCATCTTCTTTTGCTTGACACAGACGTCTGACACTCGTCGGTCTATGAAGATGAACACTTCCAATGTGAGTCAACTCTGTTTGACAGATGGAGTTTCATGACGATGATCAAAGCGAAGTTTATTCGATTAGTGCGCCATGGTGTTGCAGCGGTGACGAACTGACACAGTTGTTGCTGTTGTTGTTGTTAGCTAGCGAATGCACGAAGGAACGCAAGCTCCAATCTGGCAGCGCAGTACAATTGCGGCTGCTGCTACACGCGGTATGCAGATGCAGCGGCGGCGACGATAACGACGGCGGCAGTGTTATCGCTGAACCGTTGGCGGTTTGTTGGTATTTTCAGTTGTTGTCAGGACTGTTGCTGGCGCTTTCGTTGGTACTAGCACCAGGATTGACGCTTCCCCCCCCGGATGGATGATGATGATAACAAGGTGTCCACTTGTTCCCGTAGTAGCTCCCGTCCACTTCGTGCACCGCTGCTGCCTCTTGGCCTCCTTCTTCTTCCTTCAGAGCCGTTCTTCCTTCACCCGATTGCGAACTGGCTGCTACCGCGAGCGTCCGAAGCTTGCCGGATTGGCGGCGCATGCGTAAAACAGCCTAGCGAGCAGCGCACGGAGCACAAACTCCGCCGTCCCGGAAAGGGAAGCTTCCCACGGGAGTTGACGCCATGGCAGACCCCCGCTCCCGCAGTTCCCTCTGAAGACACCCCCAACCTCAATCTCGTCTTCCTCCACTCGGTTTTCCGTGCCCTGCTATACGCCTCTCACCGTCAGCCTTACTTCGCCAACTCCCTATTTCCTAGCTACCAGCAGTTTTCAGCGCCCTTCCTTTCTGGACCGAGCAGTGCCACCACTGCTGCTGCCGCTGCTGTTCTTCCATCTCGTCCTACGTTCGCTTGGTTTGCCAGCCTCATTGCCTGCCTGTCAGAGAGTCAGGCGTCCACCCGTCGGTTAGTTTTACCGGCGACCACACAACCACCGGCGACCATAAGGATTACGACTTGTAACACCGGCAGTGAGCAGATTGTCGCCCCGCGTTTCGTTTCGCCCGTCCTAACCAGCAGTGTACGGCGAAAACCAATGGCGATATCATACAGGCAAGACGTTTGCATTGCAGATATACAACGAGCTTGCCTCTGTCGCTACTTACGCTAGCAATGAATAGCCCCGTTCAGCATTAGAGGGTCAAGGCGGCTCGAGGGAGGGGATATGATTCAGGTGGTGGTGGTGGTGGTGGTGGCGGCGGCGGCGGCGGCGGCGGCGGCGGCGGCGGCGGCTGATAGTATATGTCGGGAAAGGAAAAGCGGCTCTGGCACCTGGGAGCAAATCTGAGCGAAGAAGGATGGAGGAGTAGTTGATGAAAAGACGAGGGAAGTTGAGAGGGAGAAAGAAGGAAAGGGAGAAATTGCAAGCGGACATGTCAACAGTCTTGAAGAGCCGCTTGTCGTTCTGGTAGAACACCCTGCCTAGCTACAAGACACTGTCGAGACGAGCACAGGCTAGAGAACAGAGCAGAGAGACGTCCATTGTGGCGACACTCATAACAGAGTACCAACAAGTTCTTGCGGTTTTCTTAGCTAGGTAGAATGCTTGCGACTCTCGATAACCGCACACACTCACTACCCGCTAACTAAGATTCGTCGGGAAACTTAGCGAAAAATAATAGATATCGACGAGAATTCGAAAGAACGTTGGGTGCGCCCAAAACGTTTCCCATACGCCAAGAGACTTGTGGTAGTTCTCCAAGCACAAGGGTTTTGGATGCCTTGGAAGTAGGCCAGGTCTGAGAGGAGCTATTTATATGGCCCTCTGCCAATGTTGAGTACGCACTCATACGCACATACAGGCAAAAAAACGCGACGCGCATAGCCGTATCAGAACTGTGGAGGACTTGTGAGTGCCGTCTAACGCTCGACTTCCGCGACTGCCGCTGCAAAGCGACTTAGCTATTTTTGGGATGGCATAGAGAAGTCTCAGCACGATCATTATACAGCTAGTCGAGGTGGCTCTAGATGAAGACCAATTGGCGAAAAATACATCAATCTTTAATGCGAGTACTTCGTTGACATCTGAACAGTACAGTCACGTCATTTATCATTGAATAATTGCTCATGATGGAGGAAGATGCCCCTGCTTGAGATCGCTAGCTAAATCGTGGCGTAACATAATGCATTGAAAAAGGACACTGTAATAATAGCATGCAGAGATTTGGTTGACTGAAATATTTTTTATTTCACTTGATCTATGATGCTGTTTTTTTTTTTTTTTTTTGCTGATAATAACCGCAATGCATGAAAACTATACTTTGAAAAAATTAAACATGATTTTTTCCGTCTATCAGCATTTGAATCTACCGAATAAAGTAAACAACTATGGCCGAGTGAACACATCAGATCGACTAATCGGTAAAACACTGCCTCGGCATTGTAAACATTCGAAAATCTACCCCCACATACATCCACAACATTAAGTATATTGTGTTTCTTAGTGGTCTTCGTCGCTATAGCATCATAAGAGGGTTTTGTCAATAGATAAACATCCTGTTACAGTGTTTGCACGCTTTTCGCCAAATGAAGTCGCAAATTAAGGTCTATGAAGGCCCGAGTATCATATGAAATACCACTGCAGAGTTAAATCTACCATCCATCTACCTTAACAAGTTGTGTTGGGTGAGTATTTCTATTTTATTAGGTTAAGTAGCACTCTATGGCCTATAAGGAAGCCGTGCAAATTTCGCAGACGAGCAATCGCTGCTCGGAATCTGATAGCAAACATACTTGTCAAACGTTACCAATGTAACTAGATTATTCACGAAATAGAGGTACTCAAGTTAGAAACTTCTCGATTTTACGTTATCGCCTTTTAAACAACATGTGATGAAAACAGTTACGACCGGAAGTTGCAGATTTTTAAGTCGACACGACAAAAGTTATGTGACTATAATAATCAATATTATTATCTAGCTACGTCTCTAATCCCAAGATCAGCCTTCTTCTGTGTACTTAGAGCTATTTTGTTACATTACCTTACTGTCGCAATCATCTTCCTGCAGCTATCTCATTGCCCCGTTTTGTTTAACCTTCCGCGTGGTTCCATGGTGTTATCCATGTGAGTACCTTGCTACAGCTCTCGTATTCGATCAAGTCGTCTTACCATTGTGGCGATACACTGTCATTCCGCCATGCAGTTGTATACTTAACTTAAAAACTTCATCGTAACCCTAAAAACATTCATGTGAATCTTAGACCGCTGGAGAGTCAAGCAGGTAAGCAATAAACAATGGTTTCTAAAATTCTAAAACGTTTACGAATATTTTCGACGGCAACGACCTGCTGGGTTTCATTAGTATTGTGGGGTAGTTTTTTGTCAATCTACGTAAATGTCTGCTGTCGAATAAATTAAGCAGGTTTTGTATTTGAGTGTTAGGCAAATTGTGGACAGCTGCAGACGAAACTACTCGAAACGGTCGTTTTTTTCTCAGTTAACAGGGACGTTCGTTTAATATTTTAGAAATTAGTTGATTTGTCAAAATCCTCTTTGTAGTATTTTCCCGTAAAGCCAAGTCACTGCACTCGTTAGAACTGAAATTTCTTATATCTAATTAGACTGATTAATATTAACTGATTTAAGATGGCTATAATTTAAACTATTTCGGTAGAACAACAGAAAATCAGGAGGAACATAACAGGAAATAAGTTTAGGTTTTAGCTTAAATGGCTCAAAATATCCAGGCTATCTTAAACCTATGTAGATTCGTATAGGGAGAACATATGTGTTTTGAATTCGCAGTCTTTAAAGATTGATTTCTATGACAAAAATGCTGTTTCAGGATAGCTCAGTCGAGCTGAGTATCATTAACCGGATACCTACATAATGAACTACACCGTATTATTCCATTGATGCAATGAAACGTCCGTTTAGCCAAAAAGGCCACGTACTAATCTGCGATCACGAACCTAACAATCTACATTGTTAGGTATACAGCTGCATAAGGCTATTTAAGACGATATGAAGCCGGGCAAAATAGATACGAATAATCCCTTGTCCACGGGAAGTCAATAGACCAATGTTCTTTGTTTCTCTATGAGATTTCAGGATTAATCTCTAAATTGGGATAAAATGGTCCACGATATGCTTCCTATAGATTTTTATATTAGGCTTAGTGGCAAAATTTAATCCGTGCTAGCTGAGCTAGATCAACAGAACAACATAGACGATATTGTGGCATGGATCTCAGACACATTTGGGGCATGTTCAAGCGAGAAATCATGCTTCCAACATCACGGGTCACGAATAATGCTTGATTTTTGGATGCTTACATTTATAGTACATCGAGGATTCTTATTAAATGTTAATTTGTTGCTATCTGTATATTTGCACCCTGTCCCATGATAAGCGGCTACAAGTTGAAGGCTTCTGAAGTCAACTGAAAATCCAAAGGCGACCTAAAAGTTAAAAATATGTTGATACAGATGTGATTTGCGTATCTTGACTACTATAATTACCAAATATAGAAAGCCTTTAGTTTATTTCGAGTGGCCTCAGTCGACTCTAAGAGGTCGAACTATGTAACAATTCACTCACAAGCGTCACTATCAGCAGATACTTCATCATAAAACAGGGGCGACGTATAATAACTCGCTGACCTTGAGAGGCTGCGTGAACCTCACGTTCGGTGCAGTATTTCGATTAGCTTATAACTCCACTGTCTTTCTTTGGGTTTTCCTCGTTTCTACGGATGCGTATTAAATATTCACTTGTCTCGTAAACCACCACCTGCATTTGTACGCGTTACTGTTACGTCAAAAACATTTCATACTTCCAGAGATATTTATGTCAATAATGTCTAACCATTGCGATTTCGGAGCTTTTTCAATGTAGACCGCAGTCCCTAAATATACACTGTTTTCCTAACAATGTCATTTCTTGTTGAACGAAAAGCTTAACTTAGAACTTATTACGTGTTGTTATGGTAAAAATCCAGGAGGCTGTGGCACCTACGTAGAGCACAAAGTAAGTATTTCTTTGCCATACAACATTTACAAGCATCAAACGTACTAACTAGAGCGGTAGGGATGAAATGGCACCATATCGGCGTAGCCGTTGCCAATAAAGTGTTTCGCTAGAAGCTAAGTTGTGCGTCATTTAAGCTAGTGTATCGATCATATATAGCGCTTTGAGTAACTTAAGTTGCTCAAGTTGTACTGTATACGAATCATGCATTTTGTTATGTAGTGTGCTATTTTATTTGGAGGAGCCCAACTCTGGAAACGGAAGTTTAACAGGGTTAAAGAAGGATGCATGCAGGCAGAATATTTGAAATAAACTTTAAACTTTTTTATATTAATCATGCTACATAAACCGTGACACTAAACCTCGCCAATAGAATAAGCCTCGCCAGGAGTGTCACGTTATTACCGTAGTATGTCAACTGGCAGGGTTCGGATCAAAGCTTCCTACTTCTTGGGCTAGCAGTTTCGCCTCACCGATTTCTTGGTTCGATCGAACCAAGAGCCGATAAATTTAAGCGTTTGGTTTTCGAGTGGGTTATTTTTGTGAAAAGGATGCGCAGGCGTAAGGACACGACGTTTGTTAATTTCTCAGATGTTCGTCCAGAAAAACCACACCGCTTATCGGCAAAACGAAGTCCGCCTATAGCCGCCTATCCTAAAGGAACGGCTACCTCGAGTGTCCATTAAGCAAGCTATGTGCGAAAGC